TATAAGTACAGTTATAACTGGGTGATAAGTACCGCGGACCTCCAAGCAGGGATTGGAGGGCTGTAGATTTTTGGCGTCTTCGGGCGCATTTCGGCCTTAGGGTTGTTTAGACCTCAGTCAGGGTTTGTGCAGGGTTTAGGGTTGTGGGTGGTTACAGTAGTGCACTTCGAAATCCCAAAACCCTAAACCTCAAACCCTGAGCCCTAAATAAACCCTAATCCCTAGCCCCTAAACCCTAAACCCTAAGGCTTCTTCCTGGACTTTCGGGCTCCGCCAGCAGCGCTGATACAGGCCTTGCGGGTTGCTGTTCCGGAGCTTATAAAACCACGAAGCCTGAGGGTTATGGTTTAGGGTTTAGGCTTCGGGTTTAGGGTTTAGGGTTTGCGTAGGGTTTAGGGTTTAGAGTTTGGGGTTTAGGGTTTAGGGTGTAGGGTTTAGGGTTTAGGGTTTAGAGTTTAGGGTGTAGGGTTTAGGGTTTAGGTTTAGGGTTTAGGGTTTGGATGGTCGAGATGCTCATGAGTGTTCGCCTCCCTCTGGGTTTTGGCGTGCTATGCTTTATCTACTTTTTGTTCGTTGTGGGTTCCTATGTGCTAAATTTCAAGGGTCAAGGAAGTAAAGGGTTGAGAAAAAATCTGTGCGGGAAAATAAGTTTCGCAGTAGGGGCCTCAAGTCAAAACCTTCGAATCATGGCTTTGTGCGATTTCCAGCTAAATAGCTCATCGACTTGCTCATGACGCTGGGAGGGGCTGCAATCCAACAGTCTTTCTCATGGGTGTACGCTTGCTCACAAAATTATGGGTCAAAAATCATGGGACATGTCGCGACTGCTGTGTATGTCCCATGTTGTTGAAGGAGCAAGCCGGACAAGCAACGACATAGTATATTTTGCTCCGAAGGTCCGAAAGCAGGGGTCTGTTCGAGGCACTATGGCCAACGTTTTGCAGTTTGATCTCTTGGCGATGTTTGGGGACACAGGATTGCAGGCATAGGGGACGATAGCTCGGAATTCGTCTTACTGCTTCATGGGTGCGTGGTGGGCGGTGCACGGATGAGAGGCTAATGTACTACGGCCTTAAAAAGAAACAGCTCGCAAAAAAGAAATTGTTATTTGCATGTGTTCATTTTGATCCGGCCTGGCCAACCAGGATTTTTTCTAAAAAAACTCTCCTGGGAAATTTTCTTTTGAGCCGCTCTCGCATTCAGGAAATTCAGGTTTTTTTCTTTAAATTCCTGCTTGGGGGCTGGAATCCTGAAGAAAATGTCCCGGGTCAGGCGATTTTTTCTTAAAGTTTTTTCGTGTATGCCTGGATTTCTTGTTTCTGGAGCTGTTTTCCTGAATGCGAGAGCGGCTCAAAAAACTCCCGGGAGAGTTTAAAAAAAACAATTCTGGCGGGAGTTTTTTTTTTGCCAGGCCGGATCAAAATGAACACATACACCTAACAATTTATTCTTTGCGAGCTGCTTTTTTTGTTAAGAAAATTCTGGCGGGGAAGTGTTTTTTCGAGCCCAAATCCTCCTCGTTGCCTAACCTCTCCGAGCGCCGTGCGGGCACCCAGCGGGCACCCAATATACATGAGACTGCTGCGCTGAACCCCTTTTTTTGCTTCTGTAGGAGCATAAAGACTAATTGAATAGCACCGTGCGTTCCATCTTGGAGGCAGGTGCGAGGACTTAGGGTTCAGTTTGCACGAACAAAATTGTTCTTCATATTGGTGGGTGAGGGGGGGCGGGGTAGGGCTCTGTTAGGCACATGTAGCAGGAGATGGCTGCGCCAGAGATGGCGGTCCTGCAGTTTTGACGTTCTTTTTTCCAGCCTGCTAAGCATGGGTCATTCGTGTTTGCAACGTTACATCCTACAATCGATGGCAACAGGTTTTTCAAGATGTCACTCAACCCCCCCAGCTTAATTTCCTTGTCGAAACTTTTCTCCCGTGACTTTTGGAATTTAGCATTCCTATCATGGCTACTTATGCCTAAATTTTCAAGGGTCTACTCCAAATTAGGGCCCCTAGTGCGTTTGAAAGTTTGCCTGCCAAATGGCTTGTAGCGTCCTTAGGAGAACCCCATGCGACGGGTACCAAAGTGGCCTATTCCGGCAGTACTCGCGCACATGCAGAAATGACCCCATAGTTCTAGATTTTGGGGTCTCAGGGCTTTCAAGGACCGGGACCTCGCCAGGACCCAGCGACCACCTAAGTCAACGGGGGGTCGCATTTTCAGTTTCAAAGGCGAGCTTGTCTTCGGAGACCTTTTTGAAATTTGACCCCTGGAGAGGGAAAGTTTGCCTGGATTTAGGGTCCTCAGGAAGGCCCCGTGGAGGGGGGGGGGCATCCCCGGACTCGGGAAAAGGTTGCCGACTCCGGTATAAATTACTTTGTGGTACTTTACAGTAACTTTAGATCCGCCAGCTTAGCTTCCACGCGGCTATCCTCATGTGGTCCTCCAAAAGACTGTGCCTTTTTTGGGGGGTCCTGATTGCAAGGCACCCAAAGAAGGGCGCCAAAAAATCCAGAGACCTGACCAGATTTGCGTGAGCCTGCGCTTCCGTACATATCCGTGAACATATAAGACTTGCCGAGGTAGGCCTTTGGGACATGTTTATATTTGCCCTTATTGGGTTTAAGAGGACCATCTTCAGGAATGATTTTTCAGAGGGATTTAAGGGCCATCCTAGTTGTGCGTGTGTGTGCACGTAAGGGGAGAGAGGAAAAACACAGACTTGAAACACAATGAACATCGGGTGAGTCGGGCTTGAATCCGGCAGCCGCGCTTCAAGCCCTAAACCCTAAACCCTAAACCCTAAACCCTAGACCCTAAACCCTAAACCCTAAACCCTAAACCCTAAACCCTAAACCCTTCTAAAACCACCAAAACCCTAAACCCAAGCCCTAAAACCCCAAACCCAAAGCCTTGGGCCTGCCTCCTAGACACCCTAAGCCCTAAACCCCAAACCCGAAACCCTAATCCCGAAATTCCCACCCAGACCTGCTTAGGCCGTACCCACCCTTTTCCATGGTGCTTGGACGCCCAGACCTACACCCGACAGCCATTAGCACCACCGTTTGGAGCTACGATGCAAGCCTAAAGAGTTATGTTGAGCATGAGCTGCACCTCCAGTGCAGGTGCAGTACCCCGCTTAGGGTACCCCTTCTCCCACCTGAAACCGCGGCCCCTTGGAGAAGGACTTCTCGATTGCCGCCTCACCCTTCACTCACCCCTCCCTGAACCCCCCTCCTAGCCCCCCCTCAACGAAACCCCCCCCCCCCCTGGCCCCCCCGCCATCCTGCCTGGCCGAACTGCGACTCCTGCCTTTTAAAATTTTGGCTTCTCCCTCTCTGGCCTCCCTGCCCCTACTTCCCTCTGCCCTCCCTGCCAAAGAGTGCAATGCTTGCCTATGCGTCCCTGCAACGGCCACCAAGCGACAGCAATTGAGACCACGAATTCCATGAACTGCTAGAACTACTATAATCATAATCAAATCTGATGCCTTGAGCATGGTTTCGCGAGTGGTCCTGACTTTCAAATGCCCTGACCAACGGTTGGGATGACCAGGAGACCTCTAATCCTAGAAATAAACAAGAAAAGTCTGATATCAAACTCACTAGACCCTCCATTTGAAAAACGAGGGTGGGAAGTGGGAATTTAGGGCGTTAGCCCGAAACCCCAAAAGGAGCAAAGTTGGGTGAATGCCTGCGTAAGCAGGGGTGGAAAAATAGAACAACCCAACCTTTCTGGTTGTGGTGGGGTCCAAATTGAATAAACGCCGCCGCGACATATGCCGCCCCTTCACACCCCCTGGTTGTGTTGGGGGCGCCATCTCCGTATGAAATCTACTGCCGCGGCGCGGCGAGAAGCCCTAGACCCTACACCCTGAACCCTAAACCCTGAACCCTAAACCCTAAACCCTAAACCCTAAACCCTAAACCCTAAAGCGCCTCAGGACCCCGGTCAGAGCCAGATCGTGTTCAACGAGGTGCACGTTGAGCGTTTGGGTCGAGGGGGTTTAGCGTTTAGGGTTTAAATGGTTTAGGGTTCAGGGATTAGAGCATAGGGTTTAGGGTTTTTGGATTAGGGTTACGGTTTTATAGGGTTCCATATGTACGCCCTTAAACTCTAAAATTTGATTGAAGCGGGAACCGGTTCGGGGCAATAAAGGGCGTAGAACATCACAGCCCAGTACCCCGGCTTTCACGGTTGAGCGTTTCGGGGGGTTCAGGGTTGTAATGTGTGACTGTCGACCTAAAGCACACAACGAACCTGTCACGACCAGCAAGGCCCGAATCAAGAGCCCGAAACAAGCGCCTTTTCGGGTCATCAATGGTGGTGCCGAGGAAATTTATGACTATTTGCTTAAGAACCTCTTTTCTTTCTTTTCTTATCAGGGTAAGAGTTCTACAGCAAGTCGTAGTTTGGGGTTGAGTTTAGGGTGGATCCATCTGGGCCGTCTGGGCAGCGGTAACCTCTTGGATGTCAAGCAAGCGTTCGGTTTTTCAGTGTATTTTTAGGGCGGCGTACTCTGGGCTCCCTTGCCTGAGATATGGTTTAGCTTTGAGCCATCTGGTGGCGGTTAGGACTAAGTGTCTGTAGTTTTGATCCATCCGGTGGCGGTAGCCGTGAACTGTCAAGCTAGCGTTCAGCTTCGCTTTCAGTGTCTTCCATGGCCAGTGTGGCGTACTATCTGCAGTACGTCGTGCTGGTGTCCCTTGCCTCAGATTTGCAGGCGTTTTGCAGCATGCCTTGCGGTGCTTGCTAAGTCCTAAAGCCTGATAAGCCCTGAATCCGTCAAATGCCGCGCAAGGAGAGCATTTCGGACAGAGCACGCTTCTCAGTCAGTCCTTTTGCAGGGCCACTTGACTGCTTGGGCCGTTGTGGTTTTGTTGTGCAACTCTCAGACTGCAACAGCTGGCCAGAAAATGCTTGTTGCATAGTCCCTGAAGCGCTCTGTTACATCAACGACCGACTCCCAATCTGAGAGTGGCTTGTCGAATGCCAGGAGTGCGATGCTCGGCACCGACCTAGCGTTGGGAAGCACACCTGTCGCTACCGACGACCTTTGCTGCCATTTCAGCGGTCGCCGCTCTGGATGCTGCCATCGATCAGTCAAGCCAGACAAACGTCAGCGAGAATCTATGGAGGGCCTGTTTCTGGGCTGCTGTTAGAGCACTTCAGTTTAGCGCCATGGTTCTGTTACCTTAGTTTGAGTTCCTGTACAAGAGCCCAGGTCTTCACGGGAGCTTCTGGAGATGTTGCTTACGCAGTTGTCGAGGCGCGCAGCTTGTGCTGGGCTGGCTTTCGAATCCTTCGGGATCCAGCAGGAGCTTCACCAAGCGCTTGCCAATAGCACGCGCGAGGATGCGAGCCTCAAGCCTGCACAGCAACGGAACTTGCTGAAGCTGGTGTCGCGGATGAGTTGGTGCCAATTCTTGCAATTTGCGAAAACTAACTGCAACGGCGACCCTTCCTTCCTCGACAGTTTCCAGAGGCGAGTGGCGAGCCTCCGGCACGGCGTCATTCCGGACGAACAGACCCGTGGCCCCTCTTTTTGGCTCTGAGCCGTAGACCAACGTGATCTTTCTGCAGCATTTAAGTTGACGTGTATTTGCGTAAGTTTGCATATGGCAGTTCCGCCGATGCATGGGAAGGAATGCAGCAACAATGCTGCATTTCTGAGCCGTTCTGGCTAAGCTCACGCAAGGCCGAGAAAGGCCAACACAGGCGTGAAGAGTTTCAAGCATTGGAACTTCGCCAAAAAGATTACACACATGTCCGTGTTGTACAGCCTTCCAGAAAGTGTTTGTATGTTTCACACGAGGGCAGACTGATTTTCGTCGTCACGAGGAGTAGAAACCTTTCAGAGCGCGCAGCACGGTTCGTAGCTAAACCCTACATCCCAAACCTGAAGCTCTGTTTTAGCTGTGTGATTTTCTGAGTGCATGCGCAAGGCTGACGAATGCCGAAGTGCCGAAACGCCAAAACACAGGCGGAAAGCATTTTACGCTCTGTAATCTCACCTCAGTTGCTGAGTGAGTACACTTTACACTTGTTGGGATACTACAATCCCCTAAAGAACTGAAAGTGTACAAATTTTTTTGGGGGGCTTATGAACTCAGCAACTAAGTCACAATATTGTACAGCCTTCCAGACAGTGTTTTTATATGTTTCACACGCGGGCATGCTGTTTTTCGTCGCGAAGAGTGGAGACCTTAGCGTGCAAGGCAGAAACATCGTCAACCAGCGCGACGATTGCGGGACGCGTCGCGCAGCTCTCAAACCCTCCCTGAGCCAGGCAGGCCTTTGGGACGTTTGCTATATTCCCTTATCGGGCTTAAGAGGACCATTTTCAGGAACATCTTCAGAGGGTTTTAAGGGCCATCCTGGTAAACCCTAAGCCCTATAATTAAGCCCGAGCTATAAACCCGAAAGCCTGACCCCTAATCCTTCAAGCCGCAACATGTCAGGTGGAAAGTATCGGCCCAGTACCTACACTTGTTGACTTTAGTGTTAGGGGTTGAGGCTTTTGGGTTTATGTTTAGAGGTTAGGACTCAGAGGATTGTGATGCATAGGTGTTGGCTAATCTGTGCTTCTGACCCCCCCCCGCCCCCCCCCCCCGCCCCCCCCCCCGCCCCCCCCCCCCCCCCCCGCCCCCCCCCCCCCCCCCCCTCCCCCCCCCCCCCCCCCCCCCCCGGCCCCCCCCCCCGCCCCCCCCCCCGCCCCCCCCCCCCCCGCCCCCCCCCCCCCCCCAGATGGCAAGTGGTCCATTATTTCCTGGCTGGGGATGGGGGGGGGGGGGGTGGGGGGTGGGGGAGGTGCGTGGTTGTGTCCTTTTCCGCTCCTTTTTTTGGAAGGCTTGTGTTTTTGCCGCGTCATGGTGGGCCCGGCGGGCTTTCCTTTTCCGCTCCTTTTTTTGGAAGGCTTGTGTTTTTGCCGCGTCATGGTGGGCCCGGCGGGCTTTCCATTATTTGAGGGGGTTTTTATTAATCCCAAATTCTGGCCCGAATTCCGGCCCCGCAAGGGGTAGGTCGGAAGCGAATGATTTGGGCAATGATCCTAGATGAAAAGTAGTAAGGAATCGCAGTTTTCTGCTGCAGCCTCCAATTCCAAAAAATCCGAGAGCACGTCCTATCACTACTTAATAATTAAAAATCTCTGTGCTTCTCGTCCTCGCAGGCCGGCGGTCTTTCCATTATTCCTGTAGCCTTCGGCAATTCCAAATTCTTTGGGCCCGCAAATCTTTTGCTTTAACTTTGCTTTAACTGTCGGGGGTTTGTTTGTGCATTTTGGGGCTTTTGGCTCCCGGAATGGAAAGTAGTCTTCCCGAGGGTTCGGGGCAAAACATTGTTGCTTTAAATTTCGGGGGCTTTATTAATCAGATCCTCGGATTAGAGTGAGAGTGTAGGGTTCAGTTTTGATCCATCTGGTGATAGCCATTCAATGTCAAGCTAGCGTTCAGCTTAGCTTTCAGTGTCTTCCGCGGGCAGTGCGGCGTACTGGCGTCCCTTGCCTGAGATTTGCTTGCATTTTTTGCAGTATGCCTTGCGGTTCCCGTTAAATCCTAAAGGCTGATCAAGCCTGAACCCTTCAAAATTCTATGCAAGGAGAGCATTTCGGACATAGCACGCTTGCAATCAGTGCAAGCAACGGCGGGAAGTCCGAGTACAAGTCTGAGAGCGGCTTGTCGAGAGCCAGGAGTGTGATGCGAGACGCTGACATAGCCTCGGCAAGCACACCTGACGATACCGACGATCTCTGCTGCCATTTTAGAGGTCGCCGCTCCGGATGTAACCATCGGTCCGTCAAGGCAGACAAACGTCAGCGAGAATCTATGCAGGGCCTGTTTCTGGGCTGCTGTTGAGGAACTTCAGTCAATCTAAGTCTAGCATGGTGCAGTGTCTCCTTTTCCCCAAAAACCCACGGTGGTTGGGTTCTCGTTTAGGCTGCCAAGCGGGGGGGGCCTTGTGGGATGCTCCGTGGGAGCTGTGGGGCGGCGGGACAGGGGCAAACCTGCAGGGTGCCAGCTTTGGCATGCAGGGTGCGAGCAGAGGGCACCTTTGCGGCCTGCAGGGTTCGCTTTGGCAGTGGGATGCCACGCAGGATCGGGGGAACCGGTGCGAGCTTGGCAGACGGGAGGGTACTGGACAAGGGATGCCACAGGACGTGCAGGATCGTCGGAATTTGCAGGGCGCGAGCTTTGGGATGCCACGCTGGTACGGTGCGGGGTAATTTTTTCGGGTGCGAGCTCTGGCTTGGCGGGAAAACTTGCTGGGGCAGGCGGTGCAGGACGGGGGGGCACCTGCAGGCTGCTTGGCGGCATGCCAGAGGACGGTAACATGACTGAGCTTTGCACTGCTGAACTCATTTTGGACATGCTGGTGGCTTGTGCGTAGCACAAGGGTTCACGTGGTAAGTGATGGGCCGCAATCGTATAGTCCCAGAATCTTCAAAATGTCTCTGAAGTCTGAAAGAAAACTGAGACATCGGTCCTTCGCCCCAAACCCTAAACCCCAAACCCTAAACCCTAAACCCTAAACCCTAAACCCTAAACCCTATACCCTATACCGAGCCTATACCCTATACCCTATATACCCTAAACCCTAAACCGTAAACCCCTACCGTGTTTGCGCCTGCGCCTCTGATGGCAAGGCGACCTCGAACAAGTCGGTAACCCTAAGGATCCATGTGCCTAGCCTATATAGTATATACTTAGTATATACTTGGGCCTTAAAGGGGTTCCTATATTTTGGGTTTAGGGTTTCGGGTTTAGGGTTTGGGGTTTAGGGGCCAAGTATATACTATGTAGGTACATGGGTTCTTAGGGTAACATGGCTGAGCAACACACTCCCGAACTGGCCTTCGACATGCTCTGATTGCGGCGGGCCGTGTTTTTGGGTTCCCGGCTCAAACCGTTTTCTGGCATCTTAGTATCTTAGTTTGAGTTCCTGTACAAGAGCCCAGGTCTTCACGGGAGCTTCTGGAGATGTTGCTTACGCAGTTGTCGAGGCGCGCAGCTTGTGCTGGGCTGGCTTTCGAGTCCTTCGGGATCCAGCAGGAGCTTCACCAAGCGCTTGCCAATAGCACGCGCGAGGATGCGAGCCTCAAGCCTGCACAGCAACGGAACTTGCTGAAGCTGGTGTCGCGGATGAGTTGGTGCCAATTCTTGCAATTTGCGAAAACTAACTGCAACAGCGACCCTTCCTTCCTCGACAGTTTCCAGAGGCGAGTGGCGAGCCTCCGGCACGGCGTCATTCCGGACGAACAGACCCGTGGCCCCTCTTTTTGGCTCTGAGCCGTAGACCAACTTGATCTTTCTGCAGCATTTAAGTTGACGTGTATTTGCGTAAGTTTGCATATGGCAGTTCCGCCGATGCATGGGAAGGAATGCAGCAGCAATGCTGCATTTCTGAGCCGTTCTGGCTAAGCTCACGCAAGGCCGAGAAAGGCCAACACAGGCGTGAAGAGTTTCAAGCATTGGAACTTTCGCCAAAAAGATTACACACATGTCCGTGTTGTACAGCCTTCCAGAAAGTGTTTGTATGTTTCACGCGAGGGCAGACTGATTTTCGTCGTCACGAGGAGTAGAAACCTTTCAGAGCGCACAGCACCGTTCGTAGCTAAACCCTACATCCCAAACCTGAAGCTCGGTGTTAGTGGCCTGTTTTTGTTTTTCTGAGGCCTGCGCCAGACTCACAAATGCCGAAAGGCCAACACAGGCGGAAAGCACATAGCGCTTAGTAATCTCAGAAGGTTGTACAGCCTTCCAGACAGTGTTTGTATGTTTCACGCGAGGGCATGCTGTTTTCCGTCACGAACGAGTGCAAGGCAGAAACATCGTCGACTGTCTGCATAAGCCGGCTCGTGGCTCAACCCTATCCCGTAAGCCCGAAACCCTGTCTTGTGTTACCCTGAACCCCAAATTTGCGGACCTTCGCCGCTGGAGTCCCCGAGGGGGTGAGTGTCCATAGGTTTATAAACCCTAAACCCTAAACCCGGGACCCTAAACCCTAAACCCTAAACCCGAACCCTAAACCCTAAACCCTAAACCCTAAACCCTAAACCCTAAACCCTAAACCCTAAACCCTAAACCCTAAACCCTAAACCCTAAACCATAGGCTTTAGGGTATAGGTTTGGATTCAATGCTTTTTGGGGTTTCGGGCGTGCAGGTGGATCCAACAGCGGCAGCGAAGTTGATTTGGAGCCAGCCAAAGCAGACTGGCGACACCATCAACGACGCCATGTGCCTCAGCTGCCCCTACACAGGGTTTAGGGTTTAGGGTTTAGGGTTTAGGGTTTAGGGTTTAGGGTTTAGGGTTTAGGGTTTGTCCTGCCCGAAGCCCTAACCCTAAGGATCCACGTGTCCATATAGTATATACTTGGCCCCTAAAGCCACTATGTAGGAAATAGCCCTAGGATCCATGTACCTGTATAGAATATACTTGGGCCTTACAGGGGTTCCGGTATAGGGGTTTAGGGTTTAGGGTTTAGGGTTTAGGGTTTAGGGTTTAGGGTTTAGGCTTTAGGGGCCAAGTGGAAACTATATAGGTACATGGATCCTAGGGTAAGCCGCCATCGCAACCCCCAAACCTTTCCAAGCACTGGCAAGACCCTCGCCCAGGGGTCGTAGGGTTCAGTGTTTAGTGTTTCTCTAAGGTTTTTCCATGGTCCCTTAATTTGGGCGATTGTCCCTTGAGGGCCCATACTAAAGAAGCATGAAACTACTCTAAGTGCACCAGTAAGAAGGGGGATGTATTGGGTATATCAGTTACTTGACCTCAAAGGACCGATGTGTGGGTACCATGCGTCAAGCCCGACATTTCGTGTGTGTGTGTGTGTGTCTCTGGTGTGTGTGTGTTTCTGGTGTGTGTGTGTGTGTGTGTCTCTGGTGTGTGTGTGTGTGTGTGTGTGTGTGTGTGTGTGGCTGTGTGTGTGTGTGTGTGTCTCTGGTGTGTGTGTGTGTGTTTCTGGTGTGTGTGTGTGTGTGTCTCTGGTGTGTGTGTGTGTGTGTGTGTGTGTCTGGTGTGTGTGTGTGTGTGTGTGTGTCTGTGTGTCTGTGTGTCTATGTGTCTGTGTGTCTGTGTCTCTGTGTGTCTGTGTGTCTGTGTGTCTCTGTGTGTCTCCGTGTGTCTCTGTGTGTCTCTGTGTGTCTCTGTGTGTCTCTGTGTGTCTCTGTGTGTCTCTGTGTGTCTCTGTGTGTCTCTGTGTGTCTCTGTGTGTCTCTGTGTGTCTCTGTGTCTCTGTGTGTCTCTGTGTGTCTCTGTGTGTCTCTGTGTGTCTCTGTGTGTCTCTGTGTGTCTCTGTGTGTCTCTGTGTGTCTCTGTGTGTCTCTGTGTGTCTCTGTGTGTCTCTCTGTGTCTCTCTGTGTCTGTGTGTCTGTGTGTCTGTGTGTCTGTGTGTCTGTGTGTCTGTGTGTCTCTGGTTGTGTGGCTCTGTGGCTCTGTGGCTCTGTGGCTCTGTGGCTCTGTGGCTCTGTGGCTCTGTGGCTCTGTGGCTCTGCGGCTCTGCGGCTCTGTGGCTCTGTGTTGCTCTGTGGCTCTGTGGCTCTGTGGCTCTGTGGCTCTGTGGCTCTGTGTGGCTGGCTGTGTGGCTGGCTGTGTGGCTGGCTGTGTGGCTGGCTGTGTGGCTGGCTGTGTGGCTGGCTGTGTGGCTGGCTGTGTGTGTGGGGCTGTGTGGCTGGCTGTGTGTGTGGCTGTGTGTGTGGCTGTGTGTGTGGCTGTGTGTGCGGGGCTGTGTGTGTGGCTGTGTGTGTGGCTGTGTGTGTGTGTGGCTGTGTGTGTGTGGCTGTGTGTGTGGCTGTGTGTGTGGCTGTGTGTGTGGCTGTGTGTGTGTGTGTGTGTGTGTGGCTGTGTGTGTGGCTGTGTGTGCTGTGTGCTGTGTGGTGTGTGTGTGTGGCGTATTGTGTGTGTGTGTGTGTCTCTGGGGTGTGTGTGTGTTTCTGGTGTGGTGGGTGTGTCTCTGGTGTGTGTGTTTGGTGTGTGGTATGTGTGTGTGTGTCTCTGGTGTGTGTGTGTGTGTGTGGCTGTATGTGTGTGGCTGTATGTGTGCGGCTGTATGTGTGTGGCTGTATGTGTGTGGCTGTGTGTGTGTGTGTGTGTGTGTGTGTGTGTGTGTGTGGCTGTGTGTGTGTGTGTGTGTGTGGCTGTGTGTGTGCGGAAACCAAAACCTGGTAGAGCCGCAAGAGCCTGGGTTTTAAGCATTTTTTGCTAAGTACCTGGTTTTTGGACATAAAACCAGGTTTCCCATTTTGCAACCCACCCACAACCCGTAAAAAAACCGTGCGAAACCCGTCAAAACCCGTGCGAAACCCGTAAAAACCCGTGGTGGAAAGCCGGGTTTCGCCTTGCCTTCTAGAAACCAGGTTTGCTCTTGGAAAGTCGGGTTTTTTAAGCACAACCTGCTTTAAAGCAGGTTTTGGTTGCTGAGGGATAAACCCTAAACCCCAAACCCCAAACCCTAAACCCTAAACCCTAAACCCTAAACCCTAAACCCCAAACCTGGGTCGGCTCCCTGTTTAAGAACCCTCCCTCAGGCCCAAGTGAGGGTGTACAAATCGCATTCCATCCAAGGCACGAGCTCCTGATCTATCGGCCGAAGGCCTGGCGTTAGGGTTTCGGGCTTGGGGCTTAGGGCTTAGGGCTTAGGGTTTAGGGTTTAGGGTTTAGGGTTTAGGGTTTAGGGTTTAGGGTTACTTGGCGGTTCATGGCTACTTATAACCACAGTAATAAGTCTACTTATAACCTGCTTAAGGGGACTTAGGCGGCTTATAAGTACAGTTAGAAATAGGGTTATAAGTACCCTGAACCTCCAAGTAGGGTTTAGGGTTTGGACCCCTAGATATTTCAATGTATATTCCTTAATGAAGGGGTATTGGTCTATGGATAAGGCAAGTTTCCTGCATCTAGTGGCGTTGTCACTTCATCTTTGTCCTCTTGAAGGCTCGCCAGATAATGAAAGGTCCGCTGACCGCTGTCCGGGAAGGGGGCGAACCTTTGAATCAAGCAATGTCCATGCTGCTGCATCTACCGATACAAAATCGATCCTGCATACTTCCTTGTCAGCATTTTCAGGCTGCGAGGCCATGCCAGCCCACAGCCCAATACTCCTTAATTAAGGTTCGGAAGATACCTTAGACTATAATGGGACCCTTATTGTGATTTAGAAGGGGTACAAAGGGCTCTCTGGGTTCAGCTCAGCGATGATAATGACCGAAGGAGCGTGAACTGCAGAGAGCATGTCTTCAGAATCTCCCCTACATAGATAGCAACGACATGGATTGCACCTTTGCTTGCGGGAAACGAGCAATCCACGATTCTAGACGAGTCAGGTCTCGCCTGGTGGCTGTCCTTTGGTGATACCTTGCCGGCAATCCACACACTTCCTCATCTGCACTGGCTTTGCGTGAATCACATGTGCCTCGCCCACGCCCAAGCGCAGAAGACATCCCCCCCTCCCCCACATCCCCCAACGCCCCCTCCCTCCCCCCCCTCCCCCCCCGAGGCTGTCTCCGCCCCCAAGCTGTTTTGGGATGCTGGATGCTACAAAGAAGCACATCATCGACGCCCTGCGCTCGATGATGTTCGCCCCCGTCATCCCGAGGCCACCCCCCGCACATGATGAGCATCAGTGGCTCCGGCCCCAGGCTCTCGGTGTTTTTTTTATCTCACGGCGCGAACAGGAGAGCATTCCATGGGCTCCGGAATGGCGAGGTCCCTCACCCCCCTCCCCCCCACCAAGCAATTGCCCCTTGGCCCCGAGGTCCTGACAGTTGGGGTTTAGGGTTTAGGGTTCAGGGTTTAGGGTTTAGGGTTTGGGGTTTAGGGTTTGGGGTTTAGGGTTTAGGAACATGTTCATTTTTTGTTGTGCTTGTTTTGGGGGGCGGTTCGCAAACAAATAGTAGTTTAGCCAGAGGACCCATAAATTTAGGGTTTAGAGTTTAGGGTCTAGGAGTGAGGGTGTATTTCAGTTGCTTGGCAGCCCAGTGGTACCCTTTTTACCATTTTTTTGATTTGGGGTTCCCTTCTCAAGTATATAACCAACCCCTAAAAGGGGTGCCCTTATTCTAATACTACGGTTACCTTGCTACCAAGTTCATTAAGGAAGCCTTAAATCGTTTTAAGCATCCCTTTCTACCTTCAGGCCTTAAGGTATTTACCTTAACTAAGGGGTATTGGGCTTTCTTTAGGGTTTAGGGTTTAGGGTTTAGGGTTTAGGGTTTTTATCCTGAACCCTAAACCCTGGGCCCTATAAACAACTCCCCACGTCAACTTGGAGGCTGCTTAGTCTACTTATAA